GAAACACAGAAAGGGAGAGAAAAATTCTTATTTACCCCCACTCTCACTCTCCTGAATTCCTTTCAAAATACCAGCAAAAAATGAATTTTTACCCAATATGGATTTTGTGTATTTTCATACTTAAAAAATGCACAAACTCCTATCTTTTAATTTAAAAAACATAATGTCTTCAAAATAGAAGTTTAAAGCTTTAATTGTAGAGCTGAGGTGGCACAAAATATAAATATTGCAATTTAATACACTAATTTATTATATGTTGATTTCTATAGTAGGAAAAAACAATGTCAGTCTGCCATCATCAATTCAATGGGTAAATGAAAATTTCAAGAATACAGTTTTATCAGAGACCCAGAAATTAGAGATAAATCTAGGAATAGAGTTCATAGAACTAGAGGCTCTCATTAATTAATTTTGGGAACAAGTCAATAATAAGTAATTATTCAATTAGAATGTTCCAGTATATATTTCTCTAAGTTACCAAATGTGTGGTAAATATTGAGAAAGACACAAAATAATACCATCCCTGATAAACAATTAGAAATATGTTACTTATATTTTCATTACTTATAAAAACATTGATGTTTTAGTGCATAATTTTCCAAATTTTTGTCTATGCTATGTACATATTTTTATAACACACGAGGGGCACAGTGCACAAATTTGTGCACCTTGAAAGCAACTTTAGGCACAAGGCTGTGATGAGCACAAGGGTAGGTCTCGGCCCATCCTCCAAGCCCCTACCCGGCCCCTCCTGCTGCAGCCCTCGGTCCTCAGTCTGCTGACATCCCACTGCCTCTACCAGGTACTGATGGCGCTGACCCCGCTCACACCTGCTGACAGCGTGGAGCTATTGGGTCCAGCACCAGCAGTGGGTTTGAGCGGGGCTGGCACTGTCAGCAGGTGTGAGCAGTAGCTGCTGCCCCAATCACTCCTCAGCACCAGGGAGAGGTGGAGAAGACCTCAGGGGCAATCAGGGCTGGCAACCATCACTCTCACCTGCTGACAGTGCTGAGCAATCGGGACTGGCACCGCACACCAGCAGCGGGTGCGAGCGATGACTGCCAGCCCTGATTGCCCCTCAGGAGCAGGGGGAGGTGGAGAAGCCCTGAGGGGCGATCAGGTTTGGCAGCCGCTGCTCACACCTGCTGACGGCGCAGAGTGGGTGTGAGTGTAGGCCCCAGCCGGCAGCAGGTGTGAGCACCCAGCAGGACCGTGGTGTGCGGGAGCAAAGATTTTTTAGTAGCCACCGAGACTCACCCTGATGACAGAGACTGGCGCCCTTCCTTGGTATGGCACCCCCGCTCACCTGCTCCACCATCCCAGGGCCCCCAACGCCTGCCATGTTCCACACTCTGCAGCCTGCTGCTGACCCCCGCCATGTTCTGTGTGTGCCCCCTAGTGATCAGCACAAGTCAAAGCAACAGGTTGTTTGGTTGTTCTGCTGTTCAGTCTATTTGCATATTAGGGTTTTATATAGATACTAGTGGCCCAGTGCACGAAATTTGTGCACGGGTGGGGTTGTCCCTTAGCCCAGCCTGCATCCTCACCAATCTGGGACCCCTCAGTGGATGTCTGACTCGGACATCCATCTCACAATTTGGGACCGCTGGCTCCTAACTGCTCAACTGCCTGCCTGCCTGATCACCCCTAACCACTCTGCCTGCCGGCCTGATCATCCACGACTGCCCCCATTGCAGGCCTGATCACCCCCAACTTCACCCTCTGCCAGCCTGTTGCCCCCAACTGCCCCCCTCGCCAGCTTACTTGCCCCCAACTTCCCCCCTGAAAACCTGCTTGCCCTCAATTGGCCCCCTGACAGCCTTCTCACCCCCAACTGCCTCCCCCTGCCTGCCTGATCACCCCCAACTGCCCTCCCCTCCTGGCCTGATCGCCCCTAACTGCCTCTGCTTCAGCACCTCCACCATGGCTTTATCTGGAAGGACGTCTGGAAGGTCTTCCGGTCTAATTATCATATTACTCTTTTATTAATATACTAGAGGCCCGGTGCACAAAAATTTGTGCACGCGGGGGGGGGGGGGCACC